AAACTTGACCAGTTATAAAATGACGATAAACTATCAGATTGTTTTTTAAGTCTCTCATTAGGTGCCCACCAGGTGCAAAGCATGTGCAGTAAAGAGCAACATGACCGACAAAGTGACTTTCCACCAGAAACAAGCAAGAACAAGAATCTCTCATTAGGGTTTGAACTTGGGTCCAGAGACATCACGCCTGTATAACTTGAACCTCAGAACCCTACCCATTTCATGAATAAAGATAAAGTTCTCTTTCCTGCTAGGGGTGGGGAGAACCTCACTGCCATCGAGTCCCTTCTGACTCATAATGACCCCTCTTTGGGTTTAGGAAGCAGGTATTGACCCTTTATAAATCTTAGGAATCCCTTTGTTAGGGAAGAGACCAGCAATTAGCCTTAGGCAAAAGCCCAGCTCTGTCTCTCCCTCAAGAGACTTTCCCTTCTCCTCTGTTTTTTAAATAAACTTTAGTTCCTGTGGACATTTTGCCTCTCCTGTTAAATTATTTGTTAGTAGAAGGCAAGGACCCCTGCTCAGGGTCCCAGGCATGCTGGCAACAGTGGTATTTGAAACATTTGCAGGGTCACCCATGACATGCAGGTTTCACTGTTGCTTGCAGACTCAGAGAGACAAGGAAGAAAGGCCTGGTGATCTACTTCTGAAAACTAGCCAATGAAAACCTTATGAGTCACAACAGAAAAGTGTGCAATATGGCACTGGAAAATGAGCTCCCTAGGTTGGGAGGCACTCAAAATACACAGTGGAAAAAACAATGGACTTTAGCATACCAAGGATCATGAAGATGATACCAGACTTGGCAACATTGTGGCCTATTATATATAAAGTTGTCATGAGTCAGAGCTAACTTGATGGCAACTAAAAACAACATTCTACTGGGCACTTTATGTATTAATCTCAACCATCACAACAACCCTAGGTGGTATCAACCTTAATACAAAGAACAGAAAACTGGGATTGCTTCCTATCTTTCAAAGCCCTGTTGACAGATCCCCTAATCCACTAACAAATCTGTTTCCCTGAGCTGAAATTCATTCTCTTGCCTTCCCTGATGCTCACAAAGCACTTAATCTGTTTTTGTGATAACAGGTCACATTATTCCTTGTATCACAGACTGTTACCCTAAGTTATTATTGTTGTTAGTTGCCTTTAAATCGATTCTAACTCATGGTGACCTGATGTGTACAGAATAGAACTATGTTCCATAGGGTTTTTAAGGCTGTGACCTTTCATCAGGCCTTCCTTCCAAGGAACATCTGAATGAGTTTAAACTGCCAACCTTATTGTTAGCAGCACTTCACTGTTTGTGCCACTCAGGAACTCCTAAACTACTTGGATTCAAATGTCAGCTTTGCCACTGATTAGTTGCATGAAGTGAGATAAATGACTAACACCTCCATTTCTCATCTATAAAATTAGGATAATGAAATACCTGTGACTTACACTTTTTAGATCATTTCAACAAATCATCACATAAATGGCATTTTTCAAAATGCCTGAGGCATAAGGACTCTATCAATGACTTATCAAAACAAACCAAAAAACCTACTTCAGCTGTTGGCGT